TTTTTTGCGGTACGCGGGCCTCTCACTGTTGTGGCCTCTCCCGTTGCGGAGCACAGGCTCCGGACGCGCAGGCTCAGTGGCCATGGCTCACGGGCCCAGCCACTCCGCGGCATGTGGGATCTTCCCGGACCGGGGCACGAACCCGCGTCCGCTGCATCGGCAGGCGGACTCTCATCCATTGCGCCACCAGGGAAGCCCCAATACATTTAATTTTAAAAAGCCATGTTTAAACAGGACTTCAAAGTAGGCTGGTTTCTGCTAGGCTAAACAACTATTAGATTGGTTTATCTGACAGTGAAAATAAGAGAACCAGGGGCTAGAGGCATTCATATCCCTGCTTCTGCACAAAATATAACCATTCATTTTCAGATAAATGAGTAGCGAATACTCAAACAGTACTAGGGTGAAATACCAGTGATTAAAACAGATGGAAGGGCAGCTACTTTCTCCAGAGAACACGACAGGATGGAGGACACCGGCGTAAGAAATAAAAAAATTATAATTATACTTGCCTTGGACTATATGGTAATACACCACACACACCCCTTTCCACAATACACATACAATATTACTAAAGTATATCATAAATACTTCTCAGGAACTTGAGATATTGGAGATTTTACTCAAATATTTTAGAATACAGCCTAAGAAATACAATTTATGTATGAAATTTGTCAATGAATATCAGAATATCAGAACATTATGAAGCACACTGCAGGAGTATGCATTTCATCATATGTCACATACTTTTGTTACCTCCTCAAATCCCTTCCTCATATCCCTCTTGGTGGTACATAAAATAATGATACTTGAAATTTGAAGGGCAAGTTATTTTAAATTTTTTGAAAACTTTCCAACTTGATAATACAATTTTATGAAAAATAAGGGGCTAAAAATTTCCATCATTTGTGAGCAAAAGAAAACAAATTCATTTTCTAAGGCTATAATATAAAATGTTAGGGAGGGAGCGAAGCTTTCCAGACAAGAATCAGGGTATTCTGGTTGACTGGAGCCTAATCTGAAGCAATGCTAAAGATAACTATGGAAAACCTAAAATATACTTATTCTGGCTAATCTTTAATATACTGTATTTGTACAGATGAAATGAATTCCTAATTATTAGTCTACTTACATATTCAGAATGCATGATTTCTAAAGAAATTGATTGCAAAGTTATATAGTTTTGTTCACAACCCTATAGCAATATTAGTGTTTGATATTATCTTATGGATACACTGAGATGATATAAATGAATATCTGCATGGTAGTCACAAAACTGACCTAAGGATGTCTACCTGTAATTTTCCTAAACACGGCCACATCAAAATTAGTTTGAATTACTTAAGAATCTTTGTCTGAAGCTCTCAGGGAAAGTATTTTTTCTTTGTTTTCCAATGTTCAGATATGGTACAAGCAAAAGTCTTCATTACTGGTACAAAGGAGTGGGCACTACAATTTTTATGTGATGACATAAAAAGTATAGATTTTTAAAACCACCTATTCAGACTGGTACATTTACTCACTCACATATCTGGATGATTCTATGATTTACTTTGAAGATTATGCACTGCTAAATTTTATTGATAGCCGTCTCTCCTGCCTACCACATATCTGGCCTGTCTCCACATTAAGGGAGTGTAGGCCAAATTCTTTCCTTCATTTACCATATAGTCTTTAACTATAAGAAATTCTGTTAAGCAGCTCTGTAAAAGATACAGAAGTTTTAGTAAGATATACATCTTATACTCAAATGCATGTTCTCTAACATGGATTATAATACAGGAACCCAAATAACTAATACGTTGCCAAGATGTCCAAGTACAATACCAGAGAAACAGAAGAAATTGAGATTACTTCTGCTGGGGTCAAAGGAGGGAGGGCCAATGGAGCTAGGATTTCAGAGTGAAGCAGGATTTGGGTATGCTGAGACTGGGGAGGGGTCAAAGTACAGGGTCTAATGTGGGAAAAAGATAAATAGCTCTGTTTTTCTAGAACTTAAGTGTACATGGAGAAGAGTGAGTGTGTAAAGTCTGGAAGGAGAGATTTGGACTCAGATCATGAGAAGTTAAGAATAACATCCTAAGGAGATATCAACTTAAAAGATGTATCAATGTTTTTAGAAAAGCAAACCCAAGGTAAAAATTGTGTAAATTCACACAATGATAGTAAAAAGTATTTAAGTATATATCATCTTTTGGCTTGTTTTCCTTCAATAGTGTTATTGTGGGTTAACTACATTGCTACTTGCTTCTAAAGGAGACACATGTTAGAAGGTTCTAGGATCCAGGTAACAACAAATTATATGGTAAGACTTTCCTATGTCTCGTATTCATTTTGGTTAAAAAAAGAAAAAGAAAAAGAAAATCAACTCAAGCAAGAAAATGAGTTTAGAATGATTTAAGTCAGCGATGTTCATGCTCAGTACCAATGAATCAAATGTCAATCATGCAATGGATGCAAAGATCATGTCCAAGTATTAGGCTGAACCATACAAAACTGCCAATATTGGACTATATTTGATGTATTAAAAAAATCAGCAATTTCATATGCTTTTTCCTAACAGCTCTAAGTATACTGATGACAAGGTTAATCAGCACTTTGAGTCAACTTTAACCTCCCATCACATGTTGGATGAGGAAAGTTAAACGAGAGATTTACTAATTGTGACACAAAGCTGTTTGCGTGCTAAGTTCTTGTTTATAGGCTCAAACCAGAAAAAGAAAACTAGGAAGAAAAAGGATGAAAAAATAGAGAAGAGGAAAAACAACAAAAAGGACAGAAAGAGAAAATATGAAAGAGACATGGGGCAGTTGTCCTCTTTAAAAGACGGAAACTGTGATTTAAAAAATTTTTATGAATAAGGAGGATGGACATAATTTTCCCCACACATACAAATAAATGCTACTTACAGAGCTAAAATACTTACTAACATAACATAGGAGATTCACATTCACTGAGTGCTTACTATATGCTATGAGGTACTTTATAAATACTTTTTCATTAAATATGTATAAGAACATTTCAATTATAAGATGAATAAAGTCTGAGGATATAATGTATAACATGGTGATCATAATGTTTAACACTATCACAAAATTGAAATTTACTAAGAGAGTAGAACTCAAATGTTCTCAAAAAAAAAAAAAAAGGTAAATTTGTGAGGTCATGGATGTGTTAACTAGATGGGGTAAACTTTCACAATGTATATGCATATCAAATCATCACACTGTACACTTTAAATATCTTGTAATTTTATTTGTCAATTATATCTTAATAAAGCTGGGAAAAGATATGAATGAAAACAACACAAGGTTGGTGCTTTCACAACCATTTCTTAAAGGTGAGATGGTTGCCTTCATTCAAGGGTATCACAGCTATCAAGGACTGAGTTAAGATCTGAAGCCAGTTCTGATGCCAAAGCCTATATCTTCCCTACTTCATCCTAATTTCTATAATGCAATGAAAGCTACTGCTGTTCAAGAAGTTTTTAAAAATTCTTAAATGCTGGTCATTTTAATTCAGAGGCCTAAGAGAAAAGATCTCATGTTGTATGATTTAAGTGTGCTGTTGCTGAGCAAGGAAAATTTAGCACAAAAAGGAACGGGGTAATCATTTTATATGCCAAGAAACACTTTAATGCACATTATATTTCAAGCAAAAAGAATTCCAAAGAAATTCAATTCAACAAACATTCGAAGTTCTACTGTGTGTCTAACATTGGGAAGAAAGATCTGTATACAGTTACAGTCCCATAATTAATTATTTGGTTAGAGACAGAGGTAAAAGCGGTGAAGATTCACCATTAATAAATGGAACTGGAAATATTCAAATACCCACCATTTTCACATGTACAGCAGAATCTTGATTAGGCATTTCTCGGTTATCCAATCTTCTGGATTTTCCCAGGTGATGTCACAGTGAAAGAGAGAGAAAAAAAGTACATGTGACATACATACATTTTAGTCTCTTCCTTTATGTTAATGACATACCCGGAAGGTGCTTTTGGTTTGACTGAAATACCGAGTTACTGAAGGCATTTTTTTTTTCTTTCCTAAGAAGCTCAGCAAAGATTTTACTCTATCTCACTAAGTTTTGGGTTAAAATTGTGTATGGAGAAGTTGCAGCTCTCCTATAAGAATTTATATGGTGTTAATAAGATTTGAATAGAATTAAAGTGAAGTATATATTTGCAAGAAAATGCTTTATTGCAAGAACACTTTATCAACATCTCTACATGTAAGGGTGAAGTTTGTGGGAAAATTATGCATTATTATTACTGAATAAGAATGTAAGGAGAAGCATAATCCACACAAGTCAAATTTATTCTTCAATTTTCTCATTTTAAAATCTTTAATTTTGTGAAATGATGTGACTAAGATCTGACTTGTGATTGAATCTAGCGGAGTGTCTGGCACAAAATACGTATGTAATTGAATGATCATTTAAGGGTTTTGGGTGAAATTTATATGCATCTATTTGTTAAACCAAAAGTTTTTAAAATACCCTATCATTATACTAAGTTTCATTTTTGCAGTATAAATCTTAGGGAAAATTATTTATTTTTGTTCCTCAATGACTTTCCTTTTTTTTTTTTTTTTTTTTGCGTATGTGCAAGGGACATTGGTTAACATTTTTCAAAAATACGATTTGAATTTAATTGTTCTAATATATTTGTCAATTTTACTTCTACTCATTTTACTCCCCAAAGGTTCACAAATTTTACAGCATGTGGGAGCTTCCCGGACTAGGGCACGAACCCGCATCCCCTGCATCGGCAGGCGGACTCTCAACCACTGCGCCACCAGGGAAGCCCAATGACTTTACTTTTACTTTATTCCAGGTAAGCAAAATTTTATAATAAAAGCACTGTTTAAAAAGGGGAAGTTAGTTGAGAGGGAAAAACTGAGTTTTTCTTAAACTCTAGTAATAGAAGTTGAACATTAGATCTGTGTTCTTTATAATTAAAATGTGTGTAGCAGACATAAAAAAAATTCTCAAATTCTAAAATCCATCCCCCCTTCCACTTAAAGTACATATATAAAATTGGGAAATATCTTACTTAAAAAAGTATTTCCCACCCCTCTCAGAAAGGCTGTTAGTTAAGTTGATGATCTTATAACTGATGGTATCTTAGATTTGAATAAACAGTATTTCCAAATAGTAAGATACCTCCATTTTTTCACATCTGAAAAATACTGGCATCAAAACTGCCTGGCAAGTCTGTTTCTTCATTTATAGAATCCAAAGCGTGAAATAATAAATGCTTATGGCTTTTCTTCAATATTTAATATCTGAAAAGGATTTCTAGATTTCTCAGAAGGCACTATTTAAATGAAACCATTTTATTAGCTTGAAAAAGAGGAAGGAGGATGTGAAAAAGTACAGTGGAGTTTACAAAAATATCACATACTCTGAAACATTTGAAAAGCTCAAAGGAAAACAATTCAAGTAGTGAAGAATACGTTTTAATATCTGGGAATCTAAAGTCTTTTGTTACACATAGCCAAGTAGCCCAATTCCTCTCCACTCTCCGCCCCCAAGTATGGCTCTTTTTGGAGCATTCATTCATGTTTAGTAGAAAAGGAAAGAAGGAAAAAAAAAAAAAAAACCACTGTTAGTAGGTAAAGGAGTTAATCATCTTTCTCATGGTCTCTTCATTATTTTATTTATACAAATGAAAACAAAGAGTGATCAGAAATCTGCTAATGGCCAACTTTAGGACATTATTTTTAATAAGTAAACCTAATAGTTTACTAGATACTCTGCAAATTTCAATGATGATATTTCATTCTTCCTAATCCTCACTGGCAATCTGACCAAAATTTATCCTTACTCAAAGATAATCTCACATGAAGTGATACTGCAGTCCTAATAGAAAAATCACTATCATTATAGAAGTGTAAAGACTAAGGTATAAATGTCAGCATTCAGGCGCTATTCTAAGGAAGACACTGAAAATTAGGGCAGGATATTTTTAAACCAATAGGCTTGTAAACCTATACTTGGTATATAAACTTCTGGCTTACTTTGCCAGCAGTCATCTGTTGCAGATGCTTTAAGAGAAAAGTTGCTGAAAAAAACACATCAAGTGTAGAAGACATGTTCAAAAATAGAAAATATTACCCTTGAACTATGAACTCTCTACTAAGAAAGTTCTGAAGTTTTAAGTATTTGGAAGCTTTATATGTGGACTGGAAAATGTGGAAACTGGAAAATAATGACTTTGTGTTCTTTCACTGTGAGGTTAAGGTCTCTACTGTAATAGTGTTCATTACAAGGAACATGTAGGACAAAGCTAAAGACTGAAGCAAGAGGTAAGAACTTCACTTGCATAGCACAAACTTGATAACTGATTTTAGCTATCGTGGTATTTCATTCTGAGATGATTCTCTTTACACCTTGAAGTTATTTACAAATCAAAATGACGGAAAATTTCTATATCTACATGAAAAAAATTTACTTGCCTCTATACAAGTTTTAAAGTATCTATTTGAATGCAAATTGAATACTTTTAAAGGCCCACTTGACTGTCTTATGGGAAAGTGAAAAAAGATTAAATTCATTGATATTCTTAGCTTAAAAAGTTGTGATTCTGCTTTAAGCTTGATACTTTTAGAAACATTTAAATTACACAATAAATTAATGAAATTTTGAATGGTAAACTGTATGCTACTTACATAAGAAAAGGTATGCATTACTACAGTATGGACAGTGTATCAGCAACAGTCCTAAATATCTTACTGCACATCTCCAGCAACATATATTACTTGTCCTAAGCTTGGGTTTTTAATAATGACACTTTTTTTTAGGGTGATTAGCACATGGAAAATCAAACTATAAGTTCCTTATTTGTATAACATTATAAAATCAATTTCTTTGGGGCATTTAAAGAATTCTCCCTGATTAGATTTTTAGGCAGCAGTGAAAAAAAAAAATACACAAACTGGAAAATGAAACTTTCTCTTGATACAGAGACAAAACAAAAATGAAACTGAATAGCAAAAGGTGGGAGGGTAAGAGAAGGTGGTAGAAGAAAAGAAAGTAGATTTCAAAGGCCAGTTATTTAAAAATTGGCAATTTATACCAATTTTCTTAAACAGTAAAATGTGGCTTCTCAGTCAGAATTTTGTAGATACTTATGAAAATACACAATTTCAAAGCTTAGAATTTATTCATCTATCCTCCCCACCTCCACTAACCTAATAGCTAATAGCGTTTTTCAAGGTGAGTAAACCAAGGCACATAGAAAGTAGATAATTTATACTGATTACCCTTAGAGTACTCTGAGTTACTCTGTCCTTGACTATGTCCTAGAACAGCATAGGTAGTAAGCAGCATCCAGAGATGCAGGGCTTGGATATAGGCTGCCAATAAAAACCAAGTAAACTACTTTAAGAAATGGTCTGCTGCATTAGCTAACTATAAAAAACAAGGTAAATTCAAGTATTTAAATCTAAGTTAACTACAACATTCTAGGCTATTATGGTGATATGTATATGTTTGAATCTTAATTTTCAATATACAATGTGTTATAATCCTTACAGACAGTAATCCAGCTTTTATTAATTTATAAAACATACCAGTATAAACCCATTCCAAGATATCCTGGGTAAGACTTATGGGCACAAAATAAAAATTAATTATCTTTATTACTAGCCATAATAAATAGTTCCTAACCCTAGGTACACAAAGAATGTGGCTATCAGCAAAACTGAGTCACACAACTAATGAACAACAAAATTGGATCTTTTCTCCCCTTGAAAAGAGATTTCTGAGGGTACTTTGCTTTTCCTTAACATCTATGTGTGAAACAATAAGCTCTTTTTTTTAAACAATAAGCTCTTAAAATTAGATCCTACAAATTATAATTTCTGAGACTCAAGACACTGCAAAGTTTTACATATTCATATCTTTGCAAACTATAAAGAAGTTTTACATTATACAGGATCATTCTGTTTTTATTTCCTTAATTTGGATGCTTAAATGCTTAAAATTTCAATAAGATACAGAATCAAATAAGAATCAGATAAAGTTAAACAAGAGAAACTCATTTTTACACAAACTGTACACACTTACCCTGAAGGTAACCGGACAAGCTACCGCAGCAAAAGAAAATTCTTCCTGTCTAACGAGTACTAATATAGCACAAGGTGCAGCTGAGGGCGGTTCCAAAACCCTTGACTAATAAGCTCTATGCAAAAACAGTCTTGTGACGCATCACTACACAGTGCTTTATTATGCTCTGGGTGACAGGCTTGCTAGCTCTGAGTTAGTCACCAGTCAGTCTACAGAACATGATCAAATAAAATAATGTGGCAGTTAAGAGAAGGTAAATCTGTACTATTAGAGCACTGCCAAATTGCTCTGCAAAGAAAAGGGAACCTCAACAGTAACACTTAGAAACACTCTCTTCCTCATGTGTTTTTTGGCTGTCAGCGTACTTGTAGTATGTGTACTTTTCTGTATGAATATTATATTTCAATACAAAGTGAAAAAGAGTAGGTCGTGGTTGCCAGGGGCTGGAGGAAGGGAGAGCGGGGAGCTATTGCTCAACGGGTACAGAGTTTCAGTCTGGAAGATAAAAAGAGTTCTTGGAGATGGATGGTGGTGGTGGTTTCACAATGATGTCAATGTACTTAATGCCATCGAACTGTACACTCAAAAACAGTTAAAGCGGTAAACTTTGTTATGTATGTTTCACAGTTTTTAAAAGATTAGTTCATTTAAGACATGTGAAAAAAACATGATGCATAAAAGTGTGGTCAGTAAGATGTTATTGCAGGGCAGTGGGATTTAAAGTGACTTTTATGTTTTTCTTCATATTTTCCTACACTGTAAATTTCAACAAGACCATGCATAGATCTACTAAAAAATCTGAACACAATGAAAACTAATTTTAATGGTTAAAAAAATTGAAAAAAGTTCCCTTCCTGCTAGAAATGAAAGCAAACTGTTGTGAAGAAAAGTATTTTTAACCTTTAAAGAAAAATCAGTCTTGTTTTCAACCTGAGTAGTAGGATTAAATATGCTAATACCATGTGGCAGGTCCTGATACATAAGTTATGCTACGGGCTCTGGGAAGCTTTATCATTAGAAACATGGCTATGCTACACTTACGTAAATAAATTTTTATATCGGCCTTCTCTCTTCTACGCTCAAGAGAAATCAAACCCACAAAACATTTCAGTAATCAAACTTTGTGAAGTGACATTCTCTATTACAAACAACACAAAAAATTTTCAAATAGCTTTTAAAAAAGGCCACTAACAAATTAACCAAACTTGGTATCCTACCAAATGTTAAAAATTGGCATTGCTATCTTAATAAGATGAAAAGATTGACAACATAACATTTCTCTTAGAGGAAAATCTTTTATATTCTAGTAATGGAGGCTCAAGGGCAACCAGGTGATCCATTTTGAAAACACCTCTGTGTTATGCATGAATGTGACGACTTAACTGTCCTTTAATATATTAATATGGTTAGTAATGATAAGAATTTTAAAGATATCTCTTTGAAACATGACTCCAGATAAATCATCTTCAACAAAAACAACAAAGAATGCTGGAGTTAGAGTTCCATAACCTTTTTGGAGGGGTATTTAGAAATACTATTAAAAGCTTTAGAAATATACATTCCCTTTGACACACCAATTTTATATCCTAAGGAAATAAGACAGTACACAAAGATTTAGTTGCAAGGGTGTATATTGCAGGGTTGCTTTGTAATACTGGGAAACTGTAAACAGCCTAAATGCCCAGTATCTAAATGTTTATTAATACTGGAGAGGTGAATAAATTGGGGTAAACACATAAAAAATTATACAGTTCTCAAACATGATTATTCTAAATAGCTAAAATTTATTGTATGTTTACTGTGTGCCAGATACTTTTAAGCACTTGACATACCTCATCTCATCTCATCTCATTTTCATAACCCTAGAAGGTTTGTGCTATTATTATCCTCATTTTAAAGGTGAATAAATTAAGGCTTGTAGTTGACAAGTGGCAGAAATGGATTCAAATTCAGGTCTCTGTGACTTCAGAATCCATGCCTGTAAATCACTATACAGTACTGCTCTGTGAGATTAATATTTACATATATACTGAGACATACATGATCTACTATTGAGTGAAAAGAGTTATGAGTGTATCTATAGCAAGAGTCCAATTTTGGGGGAGAAATCTTTATATAAGCACAGGAAAGTCTAAAGTAGAATACATAAGACAGTATCAGTAATGGGATTAAGGGGCCATTTTTATTTTCTGAGCTTCATAAAATAAATGAGTTCCTTGGAGAAAAAATGGCTTGTTAAAAATGATATAGTAGTAGAACCGATCATGTCCATAATCGGAAAAGAAAGTTAAAAAAAAAATCAGAACCAGTCAACATCATACGGATGGATTATTTTAAACAATATTTCTAAAGTAGAGACAGAAGCAAGGAATTCAGCCAGTTTACCCTAAAACAAAACAAAATACTTTACAGCATGAAAACCAAGATGGCTAGTTTCTTATCAAGAGGGATGTTTTGGTCTCTAAGGGATAGATGACTTTGGCTTTGATAGTGCTCTGTCCGGCTTACTCTAAGGAGAGTGGAGAAGAGAGGAAATATGAGCATTGTTTCCTGACCACATATAGGGGACTTCTTCGGCCTTTCAATTCCATCTAGTAGGTGGATATACGTGGTGGGGGTGGGATTGTGTGTCTGGTGGGGTGTCCCTCTATGTCTAAAAAAATGCGCATACCGTAATTTAAAAATAATGTATTACCAAAAAGTGCTAATGATCACCTGAGCCTCCAGCAAGTCAAAATCTTTTTGCAATAGTAACATCAAAGAACACTGATTACAGACCACCGTAACAAATATGATAGCAATGAAAAAGTTTGAACTATTGCGGGAATTACCAAAATGTGACAAAGAGACATGAAGTGAGCAAATGCTGTAGGAAAAATGGTCCCGATAGACTTGCTTGATGCATGTTTGCCACATTTGTAAAAAAATGCAATATCTGCAAACTGCAATAAAACGAGGTATGCCTGTGTAATTTAGTCAGTAAAACCTTAAGAGAAAGATAATACTTCCCCCTTCATTATAGGTAAGGAATCTAATGTCTGGGAGAAGTCACTTGTTACTTACATACATGAGCTGGAAGACTTTTTTTCTTACTTTATCCGCACTGTATCTAGGCAATATTATAAACATAACACTTACATAAGAGGGCTAAAGATGTGTATGATAAGAGTAATGTTTTGAAACTGTGCCACAGAAAAGGAACAAGGACACAAGCAAAGTACTGAATGAAAGAAAATGAATTTTGATTCAAATAGCTCTAGGATCCTCTTTTTTTTTTTTTTTTTGGAGAGGAGACATAAATGATCCAGGAATAAAATAAGTCATAAAGGCAGTCTCTTTAGCAGCACAGTGGACTTTCATCTCTGGACACAATGACTGGGCCTTGTTGCCTTGGAGTTTCTTTATTTACTGTCATAGAAACAAAAATTACTCATATCACTCCTGATGCAAACTCTAAACCTGAAATTGATATTCCAAGAGCAAAGAATCATACAGGACTCAAATATTTGGCAGATTTTTCTCCCCTTATAACACTGAAACTGGCTGTCTTTATCAACGGAGAAAGGGATACTCATTTGTACTTCAGAGTAACTTGTTAAAACTTTTAGATACCATCAATTTTCAATTAACTTGAAAAGCTAAAAATGATTACTTCATATTTTGCCATCAAAATAGTTTCTCAAAATTTTGAAATAATGAAAAAACAAAAAAGTCCACAGAAAATCTATCAGTTTAAATCTTAATAACTTATTAATTGATTTTGCCTTTAATCTTTGGGCAGGGAGTAAAGGGAATAAAGGTATTATATTAATTGTTATATATGAAAAAAGTCATTTCATGATCCCACATAACACCTGTGGTATGTAGTTATTTCTCAATAATCCAATCTATGACTTAATTACTAACTCACAGTTAATTTACCATAATCCAATTACCATTTCTCTGTGGAATGTATTTTTAAACTTCATTCTGAACTTGCTTGACACCCTAGGAAGTTATTCCAAACCAAACAATAAAGTCATAAAAGGAAGACAATTCAGTAGGAGGTGAGACGTAATACTCTCTATAAGGACTCTTGCCAAATTTGTCCCTGCTAATTGTTGCACGATGTAAATAAAAAGACCATTTTTTTAATCATACAAAACACCTGTCCAGGCATTTGACTTCTCTCAGAACTTCTCGGAAAAAGACAACAGTCAACTAACTTTAAAAGTGTGACTGTTCAAAATAAAATTGAAACAAGGTGATATAAATGTTTATATGAATATGGTTTAAAATGTTTAAGGAGCAAAAACAGAGATGAAAACAATTAATTATTATATGTTGGGGAAATGAACAGCAAGTAAAGATTTTCTCATAAGTTTTTCTCTCATTTAAAATAATTCCAAAGACTTATCCTATTAGGTGACTGTTAGCAAAGTTGATTGCTGCGTTTATGAATTTACACACATATGTATAAACTGAGGAAAACCTATGGTTCTAATCTCAATACATTTCTTAAAAACTCTATGCACGGCTTCCCTGGTGGTGCAGTGGTTAGGAATCCGCCTGCCAATGCAGGAGACACGGGTTCGAGCCCTGGTCTGGGAGGATCCCGCATGCCTTGGAGCAACTAAGCCCACATGCCACAACTGCTGAGCCTGTGCTCTAGAGCCGGAGCTCCGCAACGAGAGAGGCCACAGCAGTGGGAGGACCGTGGGCACCGCAACAAAGAGTAGTCCCTGCTTGCCCGAAGACCCAATGCAGCCAAAAATAAATAAATAAATGTATATATAAAAAAAAATACATCTTTGTTGATATGTATACATTAAAAAAAAAACCTCAGAGGGCTTCCCTGGTGGCGCAGTGGTTGAGAGTCCGCCTGACGATGCAAGGGACAAGGGTTTGTACCTCGGTCCGGGAAGATCCCACACGCCGCGGAGCGGCTGGGCCCGTGACCCATGGCCGCTGAGCCTGCGCGTCTGGAGCCTGTGCTCTGCAACGGGAGAGCGCACAACAGTGAGAGGCCCGCGTACCGCAAAAAAAACCAAAAAAACTCTACGCAAAAATCTAGGATTGAATAACTTAATTTTCAGAAACTCAAATGAAGTTCTTGGACACAGTCTATATCTTTTTACTTTCTTATTTAAAAAGTAATAAATTCTGTAAACTCCTTTAGAGGAAATGACATTTGTGTTGCAATAAGTCGGTCAAGTTCAAGAAAATCCGATGTAATACAGTACCATAAATGAAGGAAGTCTTTCCTAACTCTCAAATGTACTATGTTCTAATCTTTCAAGATGCTTAGCACTGAAATTATT